GAGTCCGTAACAGTCCCATTGTCAATAAGAATAAGAATTTAGCATTCGCTCTGGACCTTTTGGAGGGAAAAGTGTCGTTTTTATTTTGACTTTCAATTATTTTGTGAAATCTAGTTTAAAGTGGAATAGGATAGTGCTATTGTGCCTTAATCGAAGATTAAAACGCGAAATTATACGAATCTCGAAATAAAATACCCGTATCGGCCCGTTTTAAGGAATCCCGAGTCAATCCAAGCACGCCGCCTCAAATTGCCTATACTCTTTGTGGCGGCCATATTTACAGAAACATTTAAACTTCATGTTTAGGCTGATGGCTTTGCCAAAGCCTTAATAAATTAAAAAAAAATAAGAATTTAGAATCTAGTGAGGGGATCCCATGGAAATCGGAAAAACCCCAAAAAGCAAACTGTTGAGGTCGGTTTTCTTTTTCAATGAAAAATTTACAATTATTTCTTTGTGTACAATCTTTGTATTTAATAATTATGCATAATTATAATTAGATTAATTTAATTTGTATTATTTTTATGACTTTGATGTGACGAATGCACATATGATCACATATGGCTTTATTGTATCAAGAGAATGAATTACATCTGTTTAAACAACACCATTTTTAATTAGCGAAGTGTGCATTATCTTTACACACTAGAATTCTGTAACGATGATAGGATGAATTTTGAATTTTGGGCCGCTCTAATCGTAACTTTAAGTGTACTACAGACTGTGCAAGCAAGTCGTCTTTCGTATTCTTTTTCGGAATAGTAAGTTGACAGTCATATTTTGTGTTAGGTTGAAGGCAAAGTTACTAAATTTCCATGTACCTGTTCTTTCTTTTTGTGCCGAACTCACGAATATCTTGCCCCAAGCACATAAAACATTATTTGGTACAAATTTAAGAATTTACAGATGTGACCAATTTAATAAACGAACAAATCTGTAAATATTTTGTGCGTTTAAACAAAACAAAAGCAAAAGTTTTTTGAACAATACCAGGGTAATAAACTCTTGGGACAATACCGAGAATTTATAGATTTCGACTTTGTTTTTATTTTTTATTATATTTATTTCTTATTTTTTCTTGGGTCAATACCGAGAATTTATAGATTTCGACTTTGTTTATAAACGTGTTCTTATTTTAAAATTGGTAATGTCTGTAAGTATATGATTCATGAATTTGTACCAAATGATGTTTCTTCGTGTTTTATTAATGTATTTGTGATGAATAAACACTTTTTAAATATCTGTCTGCGAGGGAGTAGCCGAGTGGGAGAATGGATGCTTCTCAATTTAAGTACCAACTTTTGGAAACCCTTTGGGGCATAAGTATAGATATTGCTATTAAAACATTTGTGCACATTTAACAGCAATATCTTACGCTTGGGGTAAAGGAAACATCGAGCCGAAAGAAGAAGAAGAAGGTTTACGACCCTCGGAAAATGTGTGACCTCCCTACCCGCATTGGACCAGCATGACGGACTATGGCCCAAATTCTACCCATGCTCAGTGGGACGAATAACGAGAAGATGGTAATGATATCTATGTTTACAACATATATGGCATTCAATTGTTTTAATGGCTTTAAAAACGGAGTCCTAAATCAAGAAAACATTACGTCGCATATGTCTCACGAGCATTACGCGCTATCGGCGATCATAATTACTACAGCGAATTACCGCTAATTTGCGTTGGCTAATCATAACGTGATTTCGAGGTTGTTTAGGATTTCGCCCGGACCTGCTGTGCATTAGTGTTTTTTCATTAATTTATTATTGTGATTTATTTGTGTTAAGAAACATGAACGAAGCTTGGAGTAAACGGTCGTTGTTTCTGAACGTAGAGGTGTGGAATGAGAAAGATGATTAACTTTTTTTAGTAGCAGTAGAGCTCCTTGTAAAGTACGGAAGTACTGCCACCTTACCTATTTCTGCGGTCAAGCAGTAATGTGAACATTACAGCGTTCCGGTTTTGAGGGGTAAGGGTGCTGGTGAAAACACAGGCACATGGGACTTGTCAACTTATGTCTCAAGGTGACAGACGCAGTGGCAGTGCCTTTCAGATCTTTGCGGCTTAAAGCTCTGAGTGGCACTGCAACTGGTATAGACAGGCATGTCGCTTACAACCAGGTGCACGACTTGTTCGTCCCGTCATATGGTATATAAAAGAAATAAAAACATAGGAAATGAAACTATTTTTCCGGATTTAAATCGCGTATATTTGTTTTTTCAAACAAACCGACGTTTTGGGCCCTTTACAGGTCCCATGGTCACGGTTGACTAAATATGAAATAAAAACACTTTTAGTTTTTTCTGCTGGATGAAAAATTAGCGGATGCACTTTTTCTTTTAAAAAATTACTCTCAAATAAATTAAATAATAACAAGATTAAAGGGAAATAGAGTCTATCGACTATATGACATATAGTGATACATTGCTTCCTCAATAATAAAATGTAGAATTTCGAAAAGTAATTTTTGGCACAATAACAAAAGAAATTTAAAAATGTACTCTTCGCTAGCTAAATATCTCATTTATCTGGTGCTATACATAATAAAATTCTAAATGACATGCAAAACAATTTACTTATTATAAATATATTAATTTATATTCAATGAGTTTTGAAAACATAAATGCACGACATGAAATAATGACCAAATAATATATGAGACACAGAATCGAAAACAAAAGAAGACATTGAAAATAAAAAGAATATTTCCGGATCCGTTACAACACTGTCTGTTACAACACCCCAAGCAGATATGAGACAGTAGCATTATTATATGTTTTAATTTTTTTCAATGTCCTTTAAATTATAATAAATTTAATTTAGTACCTACAAGAATCACATTGTTAAAATGAAATATTTTGCATAATCTATTAAGCTTAAATTGAATAAAATAAAAAAATCAAATTAGAACATTTTTTGGTAAATTAAAAATAAGTTATTAACAGAAAAATAGGGTGGTTTGCATTCATGTTAGCCTGATTGACTGGATTTTAGCATCTCAGTTAACCGTGATCATGGCATCTGTAAAGGACCTGAAATATTGGTTTGTATGAAAAAACAAATATACGCGATTTCTACCCGAAATAATAGTTTCATTTCCAACAGAATTGAAATTCGATAATTTTTTTTAGTAACGGCAATACTTGGCACCATACAAGTTACATAAAAAAAGTTCGTTTTGCTAAAAAGAGACAGATTTCCTCTCCCCAATGAATTTTACTATTAACACTTCTCATAATAATTATTTCAGATACCTAAAAACGGATTTCAGGTTCATTTCCTTCTTGTCATTACTAACGCATATTTTGGTAACTTTTAAGATATTGCCACGTAGTTTTTTGTTTGAAATTCTTTGAAAAATGTCAGTTACGCTGATTTCGCTTAACAATAAAACTGAAACTAAATAAGATATAAAAAAAAATCACTTACAGGAGGTTGTAGATCTCCTTTCGCTGATTCCAGACGTGTTAGTAATTCAATTTAGCTAAAAACGTCGATTACGTTAATTATGACGAGGACATCAGTTTTAGCTGACGTCAGGCGAATGTTCTCGGTGAGGGAACGCCTTAACAAATACTCGTATACTGTGAGGAACAGCTCTGGAAACGTGAGAAAAAGAACAGACGTTTATAATTGAACACTTGACTGTTTCATTATAAATTTTCATACCAACACGAACCAAATTTAAGAGACCTTGACCTTATAAATTAAAGTTCAAGTGGACTTAAAAAGAAAAGACGGCAATGATAATTTAAGTCAAATTAAAATTATATTTCATGGTATTGTAAGAATCATTACACGTTGTTCCAAAACGTACATAAATGAATAATTGAAATTTTTACACGTGTAATATTCAAAAAAATGACAATGGCCTCATAAAGACAGGAAAAGTGATATAACTCACTTTCTTTCATTCCCACGGTGTGAACCGCCTTGTATTAAAGGTCAGGGGGTATGGAATAGACGACTCGCCGTCATTACCGTCGTTCTACACCAGTCGTGTAACTACATAATGTAGTTACACGACTGGTGTAATTAATTCCTTAGTACCGAAAGCACATGGATAACAAAAAAACATGATTTAAATCTCCAAGTACAATACAACAAAGGTTTTCGGATGTTATTGGGACTGCCGCGGAGGCATGTTTACACAGGCCCAAACTGATGACTTTATACCACGCGCAAAAAGTCAGCCTCACTGCTTTACAGATTGCGTGCGAGATATAATCCAATGCTCGAAATCATTACCAGGAGAATTCACTCACCTTTTTTGCGGCAACAAAACTAACGTAATTTTTAAGAATAAACAAATGTGGCCTTTTCTGTTATCTGAAAAATCAAATTATTATTATTATTATCTAAATAGATATGCAAAGTAATCTTTGCATATCTATTTAGATACTCGCCTCTCTCGTGGCCTAAAAGATAATTTTGAATTTTTAAATGGGAAAGGCGGTATTCTCCTATTATTATTATGACAAAATTTTTCTTGGGACTCGACTTAAGGTTGGATATTCAGAACCACACGGGCCTAAGCCAAATATTTCAGTTCAGTTATGTTATTGTGATAGGATGAGAGTGAATGCTGAGTTTGTGATATCAGGTGTATTTTGTGGAGTGTAAGTTAGGTCATGTTAAAGAAGCAGCGGGCTATGGAGCAAGTGTCTAATACGATTGCTTTTTGTAGTGGTACATATGTTTTTGGGTGCAGATCTGTTATTTTCAAGGCGGTATGAAGTGTTTTTGGTGGGATACCTGTTATTATTATTTTTAAATTTTCTGGGTAGGATTTAATTGAGCAGTCCTAAAGAGCTGTGATCTTATTAACCAACAACAAAAAGTTGGATAGGTTAGACAGAGAAATACAAATCTCTGCTTAAAAGTCAGTCAGCTGTGACTATGAGACCTGTAAAGAGCCCGAAACCGAAAGGTTTCGATTTTAGTTCTGAATTGGTTATGCAATGTATGTGTATCATGTAGTATTTATATTGTTTCAGTCGAACCATGACGAGAACCAGAGTGAGTTGCTGAATCGCAAGCAAGCACAATGAAATGATTATGGAGTCACCAGTCAGAATATATTTAGGTAAGATTTTGAAATTAACATTAATAGATAAAACAAAATTCACATTAATCGAAAAGGAGTAGTGGACGCTAATACAGTATCAAAACGTCAAGTAAATTAAATATTTGAAGAATGCAAACGATAATTATAGCATACAATTGGCATTCCTAGAAGTAATTAACGCGTGCGTAAAATATTACATATTAATTAGTACGATGATTTTAAACTTTACTCAAAGCTCGTTATCTTGTATGTAGGCAATTATATGAGTAGGATATATATATATATATATATATATATATATATATATATATTAAAAAAAAATTATTTATTATTATTATTATTTTATTACTATTATTATTTAGTGTTTTTATTATTTTCTTCTTTATTTGTACATGTGCAGTATGTGTATTCTGTTGCACCCTCAAATAATTTTATCTTACTGTTTTTCCTGTAACCCGAAGGTTGCATGGAGGACATTGCTATTTAAATTTAAGGCCGCCTGTTGTACCTGTTATTTTTACTTTTTTGTATTGTTATTCTGTATTTGTCCGTGTGCAATAAAGAGTATCTGTAAAATTTGTATTTGATGCATCGAGAATGTAAGATGTAGATAGTCTTCAAAGGTTGTTAGTATTTATTGAAAATAATTATGAGATATAAATGATGTTTTACACTCTTAGAATTTTGAAAAGTAAGGTTAATTTTGGAATAAAATTTTTTTTATTACATATATTTATAAGATATATTTATAAGAACCGAATTGAGTGCAATATTTTTAACGAAAGTTTAATCATTCTATCACAATTCTGAAGACCCTGAAATAAGGGAACTTATAGACCATTAATATGATACTGTAGAACTAAACTAAATAAAAATGCAACGTTATATGTATATGTCAAAATATGGATAAAACTTAATAATGATGAATATCAATTAACACTACTAAAATTAGAAAAAAAATTTTCAGGTGCAGCACTAGTAGTAACGATACTACTGCTATGCAGTACTACAGCGAATGGAGGGGCACTACCTGAACCCACCGCCACCACAAGAGAAGTCAGAATCACTTCCAGATTCTCTAGAACAAACACTACATTAGCTACCACCAGAAAATCTAAAACTCCAGATGTAGCATTAAATGAACTACATCCCAAAGATTCTGTGTTAGAAGAACATACAGAAAAGAATGCTAAGTATAAAGACAGAGGAAGAATTAGGTATAATCTTAAACCGAGTACAGAAAGTTCTATTCGAAGAATTAGAACGTCCACTATAAAAACAGCGGCGCCATCTAGTACGGGAACGCCGAAGTTAATAATAGTTACACCAACACCTGAAATCAAGAAGCCAGCGCAAATCATAGATGGAATGAAAACTTTTAAGAAAACTAAAATGCCAGTGTCAAGCTCCACCACGCCGGTGTCAAGTTCTACCACGCCCATGCCAAAGTCTGTGGCGTCGGAAGAAGAAGAAGAGGAGTATGAAGACGATGAAGAAGAGGAAGTGACGGAACCTTTTGAAAAATACACTTCTGGCAAATTTGACTCCAACTTCTTTACAATCCCAAATTACAATATCGATTTTCATCACGACTCCGTAGGTTCAGACAACAAAGTGAAATCAGAATACAGTAGTAGTCCATATAATTCGTTCTCCAGTTATTTTCCTGAAGTAAGCTATGACCCCAACTATCACGATAAACCTTATAAAGTTGAAAATTTTTTCAATTTTGATTCTGATTTAACTACGCCAAAAAATGATTTCTTCGATAAGAAGTTTCATGAAATTTCTTCAAGCATAATAAAGAATTTAGATACCATCAGATCTAAACAACCGCCTACACCAAGCACCACAAATACTTATAAAGTCATTAAAGAAAACATGAGACCTACAATTTTAAGCAATGTTAGTCCTAAAAATCAATCAACTGTAATTTTTAAGAATACTAAAGAAATTCGTCTTTTAGACAACGACGAGGCTGGTACAGCAAATAATAAAGAACTATCTGACGTACACGGTACAAGTATTTATTATGAAGTGTCCGTTTTGTCGACTGAAACTTACAATTTGAATTCAAACGACGATGACTGCGATAATGACACGCTGCCTGCCGATCCAACTGCTAGCACATCAGTTGAACAAGAATTAGTATCTCTAAAAACTACACAGCCAACGCTTTTATCTTCAACGAAGGTGGCCCCTAAAGACTTAAAGTCTGAAAAATCTGAAGCAATATCAACATTATCGCCTAACTATTTACCGTTCTTACGTTCAGATTCACCATTATTTGGCACGGCCACTCCAAGTTCTATTCCTGTTTCTACACAAAATTCAGTGTCTTCTACTGAAAAATCAAAACGAATGTATTCAAGTAGCATCACTAGAAACAGAAGTTATTCCAAGCGCCTGAATGCATCTGGTGCTAATGATTCGCCTAACAACGTTACACCTAGAGTAGAGTCGTCGACTGTACAACAAGTGCATAGAGTGCCAACGCGTAAGTTCCACTACACTACTCCTAAGACTAAACCTGTTTGGATGGCTCCTAGAAGAAACGTAACAAGAACCTCTTACACCAGATCCACAATACCTACTACGATTTATTCGGAATATTTCAGTATCAAAGACAAACTTTCCACGACTACTCCAAGATCGAAACAATCTTCTAGAACATCTTTGACCACAGTGTCGTCAGAAATAGACCCAGTGTTGCAAAGTGATGTCAGTGGAGTAAAAAAGATAGTTCATTCGCAGGCGATATCTGATAATAGTATACCGACTTTATGGAAGAGAGGTTCGACGAAGTTTTCGTCGTCGACAGCTTTGCCTGCAGAGGTGGAATCTGATACCAGTGACATGGAGATCCCTCCGACGCTGACTGCATGGGCTCTGGCAAGCTTAAGAAGCACGCCTGTCCAGGCGAGCCCGACGATAAACGTGACAGCCGCAACGCAGAAAAGTATCGACGAAAATGAATTACAAAAAGTCGGACAAATGCCAGGTGAGTGTCGTTTGCTACACGAAGTTATTTGAATTATAAATTATCTCTGTCTATATAATAACAGTAAAAAAAAGTTTGACTACCTATGTAAAATAGTTTAAACAAAGTCGCAAACAAATTTCAAATACACTACGCAATGTTACGTAACTTGCTGACTCAACTAAAAATTGTTAACATCATTTTTCTATATATCAAAAATGAAACTGCCATATTTAAAGATATATTTGCGTTCTTGGTAAATTTTGAGAACGTGAACAGGTTTTATAATAATATAATGACGTATTCTATACTTTAAATAAATATTGTGTTCACCATTACAGACAAGAAAGAAACGACAACGACTTCGACTACGACCACGACCACTGGTATCAACAACGCTATAATTTCCGAAAAATACACAGAACTGATTCAGAATAGACAACCTTGGCGACCTGCAAAACCTATTATACCTCCAAGCACTACCAACCTTATAACTTCAACAGTCACTGAAAGTAAGTTAGAGAAGCAGCCTGCCGAGAGCAATATTTCTTTCCAAAGCAGCGCCAAGCATAAAGCTTCAACTGAAAACATGAATGTGGGTTCTACCGGTCCAACTATAGAAACAGAAAAAGAATTGGTACAAGCACTGAAAAACACGGAAACGACTACAGAAGAGGTACAAGAAACAATTCCTCCGGTTGATGCTCCAAAGTCAACCGGTTTCGAATCGATTACGAAACTCCCTGCTGGCATGACTACGCCACACGACGAGACCACTGGTTCTGATCCAAGCCATGATGTTACAGAAGCACCCACTACAACGGACTATGAAATTACTACTATTCGATTCTCTTATGTCCCTACCGAAACAACTGAATCTCAAGAGAAAGTTAGTACATCTAATTGGCATACATTGTTTCCTACTAGAACTAAATCAACAACAATAAAAGATGAGCCAATTACAACATATAGACCTAAATATATAACGTCGACTGATGTAGAAGTAGAAACAACTACTGTAATCCTTGAAACAACGCCAGGTTTAGAACTATCTTCACAAGTTGTTGAACATGTGACCGAAATACCACTTACTATTCTAACAGCGAAAACTACGGAAGAAGTAGATTTACAAAATGAAACAACAACTGAGAAGCTGACTGTTAAACCTATGACTACAACCAATAAGACACCAGTTGAAACTACGCCAGTACCTACTACTGAAGAGTTTGTGGAAACAACTACAATAATTGTAGAAATTGCAACAGAGATTAATTCTGAAAGATCGAAGCTCCCAACAACAAGCACTGAAGTTTCGTTAAGTACAGAAATATCATCGATTGAAGTGACTGAAACTACACCCAGTGAGTTTCGTGATAGTAGTTCTGAAGAGAATAGCGGTAGTAATGAAGTTATTACTCAAGAGACTACAAAAATGTCACCGTCTGTCTCAACAACTATAAGACCACGAATAACAACTGTAACTACACAAGAAACAATTACAGAAAATGAAGAGCCTACGACAGTAACGGACGTAAAACCAACGACTACTCAAACTGCAAAGATTTCTGAGATGACTCAACACGACACGACGCTAGAATCTACAACAGATATTACGACAACGGAGGATTTGTCAAACTTCAATGTAGAGGTTACGACCGAAGCTTCTTCAAGGGTGCTAAGTGAAGATTCTGGCTCAGGAGCAGCAGTGGCTATTGCTGTTAGCACGATTGGAGTCATCGCGCTGATACTGCTGGTTGGACTATTGGTAAGCACAGCAGTATCTTATAAGATTTTTAAATAAGTAGATGAAGTAACGAAAATTAAAAGTCTACATTCATATAAGTAAGTAGGTAAAAAGTAAATAGAATTAAGATTTAAAGAAGTACACAATAGATTAAAGGTAAAATAAATCAGTTTCCTTTACTTCTAATCTATTGTTTACTTTTTTTAAATGGCAATGACAATACAAACATGACTATGAAGATGGCTTTCTGGTTTGTAGTGTAACATTGAACAAATACACAACTAAAGTTATCAATATTTTTCAAATTTTTGCCAATGGCATTCGGGCATTTGCGTTGTTTCATTTTACATTTGGTGTTTTCTTCATTATCATCTTTTATGTGTGTGTGTCTCTCTTTCATTCGCTCTTTAACTTCAGCCTTCTGAAATCTTTCTTGTCTTGTTCTTCATGTTGGCCTCGTATGATGCCGATGTCTTTTCATACAACATATCCAAAGTAATGAGCATAATATCTATCAGAAATCTTACGATAAATTACGTTCACTACTTTGGAGACAGTTGTAGACTTTTGTGGCGAGTGATGGGGCCTGAAATTTTGAAATATGTTTGCTTAAGAAAATATTGCATTACAAATTATCTAGTTTAGAAGCCTACACATCGAAAAAGATTGAAAACTCATTGAAAGACTTGTGAAATATCCGAGACGAGGCGAGAATGTCTAGCAACGTCTTTACAATAACTAAAATGGAAAACAAAAAAATAAAAATAAAAACGGTGGCTTAGATCAATATTATAAACTATCAGGCTAAAAGTCGTTTGTTGTTATAAATAGTAAATACAAGTTACGGGATCGAAGAAAAGGCGTACAATACGATACTGACGATACTACTTCATCCATCAACATACTTTTTTCAAAAACGATTCCTTTTCCGAGCATTACATGAACGTTAATCAGAACATTATTAACATATTTGTCGAATAATAGAATTATTGAAAGTGATTAATGAAAACTCTCCTTATGTCTTCATCTGAAATTAACTTACATTATTCTACTCTTTTTCGTCTCTCACAAACCTGGATGATTCTCCTGGAATTAAGAAAAAAATTATATTTTAATAAATAATGTTCCAAAGGAGGTAGAATGCAGTGCTAACCCTACTGTTCCCCTTATGAATGTACACTTTATCAATCGTCACTATTCGCTAAAGTAAATATTTAAGTTAGCCCAAATCCTAGTGGCTCTTGAGAATGCCACGTGGACAATAAATTCAAGGAGTTATTACTTCCATTTCCAATGCGCTTCGCATAATATCATTAATAGTTAATGTAGTAGTTTATTTAAGTTACTATAGTAGAAATATTGAAATGAATATGTTTCCTGTAAATCGCGGATAATTTTGGATTTTGAATAGATTGATTCGGATAATATCATTTTTTAAAAATAGGCAAAAAGTTTACTATCAGAGTTCTTAGGTATTCGCGATTGTTACTAAAACTTAAATTGCGTATGTTTGTTTTTTCGACATCAACATTTCAGTCAGCCATGACCACCGGATCAAAGTAAAATATTATTCATTTTTAATATTTCATAGGTAAGCAAATTACACTTGAAACCGTCATACTGAATAGACTCCACTGTCCATTCGCAAGACAGATTCCCCTTAGAAGAATGAGCCAGAAACTCTAGGGGTCCTATTCTCGAATCACGAAATCCGTACGGCCGTTTTCTCACTGTGACCTACAGACTGGAGTTTCGATCGGGGCTAGAAGACGTGTGATAACGCGATTTCACAGTTTTGCGATTTGACCGTTTAACAATTTCTAAAGTACCCGTCTTGTCGTTGATGGGTTTTGAGAGTAGTTCCATATATCGTCGCTTAAATGCTAAACCGCCGCGTCACAAAAAACTTCAAAAATGTTTTTATTGCAAAAATGTGTTTAAAAACATTCACTTTAATATTACATGAACACATTGATTTTGATGAGAATTTGGCGTCATAAACAACGGAATTACGCAAATGCCTGTTTGGCATTCTGCTTTTCCGTGGCTAACTTTAGAGCAAAACAGTTCTTTTGTGAGTTGTGTCTATGTTTACAAATTTATAGAGCGTAAAAAATACGCATCTTTTAAGTGTACATACATGGATATTTAAAAACAAAACAATTTGAAAATATTAAAAAATGAGGTCGAAGACTTTGATCGCCTCTCCTGTAAAAAATGGACTTTTGACATGCGGCCGTTTAGCATACACTAATATAACACTTTTCATAGATTTCGTGCTCGAGAGTGGGTTCTAAAATGTGGGCTCTAAAGAAACAAATAAGTACACGAGATTTAGATCCAAAAATGTCTGTAACAAAGCAGTGGGTAAAAACCCAATCAACCCGCCCGGGTATTAACTGGGGTTTTACCCAAAATGTCGGGTTTTAACCCATATCGGGCGTATTTTTAGCGCAAAATCGTGGGCGGAAACAGCGAATATGGAATATGGCATAATTCCGTACTTGTTACAAATTTCTATGTTAAAAATCTTTTTTAATACCTCCTTGCGATCCTGTGAATACTCACTATTAAGGATGCATATATTTTTTTAATAATATCAAGTGACGGGACGAACATACCGTGCGCTTGATGGTAAGCTACATGCCTGTCCATAACAATTGCAGTGCCATTCAGAGCTTTAATAGCAAAGATCTGAGGGGCCCTGCCACTGCGCCCGTCACCCTGAGACATAAGTTGACATGTCCCATATTACGATCCGAATTTATTCCAAGGCGGGTTTCAAGCGAATCTTGAATGTATATAAAGGTAAATCGAATCGTCTAGATCTTTCTGATCTAAAACAGCAAAAAACATTTTGTAATAATAATATCATTAAAGAACAAAACCCGATGTGCAAGAAATATTTAGTTGTAAATAGTTTTTACTCTAGATTTCGGGCATTAATAGGTTTTAGTCTGATTTAAACCCGGCGTTAATATAGCGCCGGGTTAAAACCTGGGCCCACTCTGTTCCTACAACACTTTTCTTTTTTTTTCTGTTTCAAATTGAGTGATTTGTGACACGTAGGGAAGTTAATATTTTTGTAGACGTCTAAAAATGATTATTACCCAGAGATGACCACTTTCCATTATACCCCGTATAAGAATGGGTAAGAAATGACCTGTAATTACCATTTTTGGTACATACAAATTCGATCGTTTTTAAATGGGTCACTTAGTTTGAGAATTTGCATAGAATGTTAACTTTTCGTGTACTTAAATAATGGATCAGAGTAAAGTGTTTTTTTTTATATATACTGCGTTAGTTATACTTAGTTATACATCTAGTACTTAAATATAAAAATCAAACCCATATATTTACCACTGGCTAAAAAGCGTTAGGCGATAAACAAAAAATAAATAAAAAGAGTGAATCAAGTTTTCACACTGGAGATATTATAAAAAAATAGTTGGTTGGCAACTCTATCGACCTGGAAAGGGATATACGTGGCGTATTTCCTGTAAAAAGCCGTATAGTAATTAGAGTGAGTGCAGTTATAATCCGAGCCTTAAGTGCTGATTGCAGTGACGGTTGCACGTAGAGATATGAACCGGCGATAAAAATTCCTTCGTCGGCAACTCGACTCGATACACGACACCGTCATACTTGCGAGAACTTAACTCGGTCAGAGGTTGTTAATGAGCGTTTTGGTTGCCTGTCACAAATAAGGCCATCACAATTCCCATATAAAGACTGGGAGCTTAATATGAACGTAGGCAGCAACTTGGCAAAACTGTTTATTTTTAAATATCGTCGGTTTACAAATAACGTTGAAAATTGTCTGTTTTACTTTTGAACGTTCATCGTCAACTCATTTGTACGTCCCACTGCCGGCCACGGGTCTCTTCACAAGAGACGGTTTAGGCCATATTCCGCCACGCTGGCCCAAATGCAGGATGGGGACTTCATACGTTTTCCGAGGTTTGTGAACCTTCTTTACCATGCAGGTTACATCACGATGTTTTACTTTATAAAAAAGCTCTTGGTAAATTTGGAATTAATTTTAGAAAGCTGGTCAGTCAACAATTGTTACACCAATACAACGATTAGAAAACATACATGCAAAAAAAAATTTAAAACAAGACCGACACTACATGCACAATAAATTATTGCAGAGTAAAATGAAACCTACGAAAAGAAAAGTGTAAACATTAATTTAATTATATAAATCAAAGAATCATCATTTGAAGAGTAGAATCGATATTCGTTCTAGAAGCCCCGTACTCGCGGACACCCAGTATATGACCATATGAGGTGACTCTGTCCATACATATATATAGAGATATCAGATTTTCCTAAGGTTTCGGAGTATAGAAGGTTTTAGACTTTTTTATTCGTATTTCTATTTCTAATCGAGGTCCGCACGATTTTATTTATGATATCAATTGATGAAGAAGTTGTGCGCCTGGTGGTAAGCGACACGCCTATTCAGGACACTTGCAGGACCACTGAAAGCTTGATCTTAAGACATTTTCAGTTGATAAATGCCATGTGCTTGTAGTTTCACCAGCATTCTTACTTAAATACCTAATATGATAAAGTAAATACAATGTATAATCTATTATAATTAATATCTTTGTGTTACGTAAAACTATGTAATAAAATGCTATATAAATATAGATGGGAGGAAAGGGGGCACTATGGAAACTGGATTGATCGAATTTTTCCAAATCCTGGAGCCTTGGTAAATGAAATTTTTTAGCTTTTTTTCTCGGAAACTATCGCCTGTGGAGAAAAATTAATAATCACAAAAAGTATTTATTTAGGTCTAATCTATCCGAAACAACTACTAAAAACAATTTAAAAGTTCAATTTCCATAATGCCCCACTTTCGTGCAGTCCAAGCCGACAACGCTAAGCATGCTGGTACAACAAGAATTGTTTGTGGATGTTAGCGCAGAAGTAAAAAATCTCTTTGATATTTCTAATCTTTGGCCCTTTTAGACAGAATTATTTGTTTTAAATGAGTAAGTCGGTAG